AAGTTCCAGTCTGGCTCTAAAAATTTTATCATGGTCGAAAATTGCTTGTTATATGAAAAATGGAGATTTTTTTTTTTGAAGTGGATGACAATAAATTTTTTCGTGTAACGTTTATATTGAATGACACTTGATCTGCAATGTCCCGCGACTAATAGTGTTGATGAGAAGCAACCAGAACCAAAACATAAAAAGTTCAAATTCATTAGATCAACATACTTCACACCATGAGGACGCAATCAAAAATGAGATTTTATTGATATTATCATTATTTTATATGAATTGTATTACTTTAGCATTTATTAACTTTTACCACACGAGTTTATAGATAAAAAATTTAACAATATGTGACTTTTGTTATGCATCAGGTATATTCTTATCATAAAAGGTATTAATTAGTATAGTAAAAATGTCCAATTGATTAGATTTATATTATAAATTATATTTATACAATAAAAGATAAACAAATATATTGGTGGTCGAATTTACTTTTACATAATGATCATGTGACCATATTAATATCCGAAAATAAAGCTCCGTTAATCAATGTTACATACCTCTTCATAATCGAATACCTCCTTCACATCTTGTGTCTTCTTATTTATGACAGCTATATGGTCCTCATGAATAATGTGATCATATTTATCTGGTTTTGAAATTGTAAATATTGTGTAGGATTGTCAGTAAATTTACCTAGAGTTTTTCGTCTGTTATTTTTAGATTTGCGAGACATATTAATATCTTATGTATAATGACGTATTATATCAAAGTATTGAGACACATTCAATTTTTTTTTCTTGCAAAAGTGATCAGCGTGAAGAATCTTCACGCGCACGTGATTTTGATGAAAATAAAGCATGGACATCCACATAATTCTGATCGAGACAAATGGTTACATAGAACCTTACTTTATTGATATATAAAAATGTTACCGAAATAACAACATAAAAAAAAAATCATATCGTAATTACATACTGCAGACGTAAATAAAAAAATAATTATAATTATTCCTTTGGTTTTATGAGAAGGTTAACTTGATTAGGCTGGTAACTGGAGTAGCATTGAAATATTCAGAAACCTCAGCTGTCGACTCCATAGGAATAATTGCGTAGAGATTGAAATTAATAGAAAGCTCTTGGTGACCTTGATTTACCAACAGACCTTCAATTGCTTTTTTAAGTGTGGCAACCTTATCTTCCTTACATATTTCAATATTAAAATATTCACCATCTGGAAAACGACAATTGAGACTAATAGGATTGGTCATTTTGCGTTTCCTAATATAAAGTTCTGTAATAAGTAAAAATTCATTTACAATGGATAGAGCTCTTATTGCAAATAACACATAATGGACACCAGCAAACCAAACACGTTACCTTATAAAAATTGCGAAAAGATAAGAAATGATGCCTCACAAATCCAGTTTATTTATATTGTTCCATTCGCTAAATCTGAGAACCTGCTAGAAGAAAAAATAGATGATTAGTAATTACGTTATCCTGACATTTCTCAGATCTTTGCTCCATAAAGCAATTCTATTAGAATCGCCAAGTACTGAATATATGAGTCATATGGCTCTATGCGAAGTATATTTCGTCATCTATGGGGAAAATTAAGCTTTTCAATCTGCCGATCACTCTTGTAAAATGTAAAATAAGCCAAAACTTGACGATCTCGGAGATGGTGGAGATCTCGAGTCCCATAACATATGAATTTTGATATGAGCCAGACTCTACGTAGTATTATTACTGATAAAGAACAATAAACTCTCCTCATTCATATCCTTTTTGAGTCTTATTTGTATTTTTTCTTATTGGTAAAGCTATATACAATAAGGAAAAGGCTTTATTAATTCCATAATTTATAAATATAGTGAGAAAATAATTTAGCAGTATCACAAATTAGTCTTGTGGAACAAATAATTATGTGTCAAGAAACACTAGCTCCGCTATTCCCTGAATTCCACAAAATCGTTATTTTTTTCACCTGGTTCTATCATTATATCGAACAAAAATGAATTGTGATATTCTATACTATAAACTTGTTAAAATCGTATATAAGTCTTATAAACACATAATTGTTAAATATGTCACAAATTAATAATAACCACGTTAACAGACCATATTATGAAACAAATAGAATAGTTGCAATAATGATTAGTGGCGAAATTACTCTTGACTTTATTATAGGGAGTGAGAAACCTTATGACTTTATTAGTATAATCGATCAGGATGAAACGCCAGTTCAGTGGGCCATCTGTGTTAGGCTCGCTCTTCAAGAGATGCTTTCATGGGGAGGACCACGTAGTTTGTATCACCAATATTGTCTCCATGCTTCTCACCCAGAAGGTGGGAATTTCGATAAACATTATTATCAGAGACCTAAACCATATGAAGATGGGACTGCAATATGTTTCCAGTGTATGAAACTTATGCATGTCAAAACAAATTTGGACCCATTTGATAGAACTCAATTCGATTTAATGAAACCACATTATGATTATGAATGTTCTAGACCCCTAACAAAAACGGGATGTGCAAGGATTATTCAACAGGCATTCAGGAACTTTAAGGAAAGAGAGCCATCAAATGCGCGACTTGCTTGGAACAGCTTACCGAATGATAATACTCCAGATGATAAGAAATTTCTAACATTAATTCCTAGAGATGGGAAATTGCATGAAATTCCAAAATTTCATGCGCATTGTGCGCATTTTATGCAATGCAATTTTTTTTTAAAAAAAATTTTTATTTATGTATATTAAAAATAAAAATTTTTTTTTTTAAATTCCATTAAAAAAAAGAAAACTAAATATATTTCAATACCACTCTTCACTATCTTCTATTCTAATTGTTTCATCTTCATCAACACCTTCACTTTCATCATCATCATCACTTTTATCACTTTCACCTCCCACATTTGCATCATCATCAATGATTGTAAGATCTATATTATCATTGTTATCATTTTTTGGACATTTTAATTTATGATTGAAATAAATATATACCAGTTTAAAAACACATTCAGATGTCAATTTATTTCTTTTCTTGTCATGTATAAAAGAAAAGGTGGACCAATTCCTTTCCGAAGCAGCTGATGAAGTAGGAACTGAAATTATATGAACAGCAAATTTTACTAGTTCAGGAGCTGCTGAAGAGAAATTACCTTTCCACCATGTGATTATATCTATGTCATCTACTGTCTTCCATGCCAATGAATTATTAAATGGACCTGAATGTGCCTTGTATTGTAATAATTGGCCCCAAATTTTTGAAGAATCATTATAATAATATTTTTTGATGAAATCGGAAATTACATTCATGCAATTTTCTGGTAATACATGATTTTTAAACTTAGGGTTAAGAAAATAAGCTACCATCATTATAGGATTGTATATTTTTTCCCATCATTTTTCAATTATTTCTTGAATTTCATAATTTAAATTATCTATCAAAAAAGTTATTAATAAGATTATTACCTATGATAAAAAATTGAACATATTTAAATAAATTAAAATATTACCATCTGAATTAAAAAGATTTTGATACCAATCGTAAAAATATGCCAAGTTTAGTTGATCACTTTCATAAAATTTTATTCCATCAAATAATTTATTTAAAATAATAAGAGTTGAAACTATATTGTTCCAATATTGCTGACTTTGTATAATTAATTTTACTTCACTATCTAAATCAAATGAAGAATCAAATGATAATTCTGTAATTGTAAGTTCTAAAGCTAATTTATTTTTAATAACTGATTGTAAACACATAACAGAGGACCCCAACGTGTTTTTACAGGTAACTTGAGAGATGTTGGATATTGATAATTTGCCTTTTGATGTCTCTTAAATACTGCTGATGGAATTAAATGTGCCTTAAAATATTTAACAACTTTCTTAGAATCTTTTACAACTATATCCACCCATGATATTTTAACAATATCATTGATCAAAAGATTTAAATTATGAGAGATGCATCCCAAAAAAAACACACCAGGATAATTTTTACTTAATATACCCCATGCTTTTTTCATTACACTAGCATTATCAGTCACCACAGCTGAAAGTTTGTTAATATCTAAAGTTTTGATAATATCTTCTATGTCTGCAGCAATATTTTCAGCTGTTTGACGAACTTCATCAGTAGTATTGGCTTTTAAAAAAACAGGTTTTGGAGTAGTTAAGATATAATTTGTCCAATGCTCTTGAGTGATGCTTGTCCCATAATTAATTTAATTAATTAATCATATATATTTGAAAAAAAAAGAATATATGAATGCATATATAAAAATGTTAACTACATACCAACCATCAGAAATCAACTTATATATTCAGCACTTTCAATTAACTTGTCAACTTCTTCTTTTGTTTCAATAAAAACTTGATCAAGCAATTCATTTGAAAGTTTTTTTCTTCCGGCAATTTGAATGCAGGACGAGCTTTTTGCCACAAAGTTTTTATTGGTGCTGATTCAGACAACGAAAGAAACAAACCACACTGATATATTGATTTAGCAAATAATAATTCTAACTCATCTTGCTCTGTTTTAGAAATTCTATCAATGAAATTATTTATTGAGTGATTTTGTATTAATTGATGATGATGATGATGATGATGATGATGATGATGATGATGATGATGATGATGATGATGATGATGATGATGATGATGATGATGA